CTCGGGGGCGGGGGTGGGGGTGGGTGGGGGTGGGGGGTTGTTTACATGATCGTGGGTTCCCGACATCCAGGAGAGACGGAACAGAAGGTCGTGTTAAAAGCCAAACTGTCAGCGTGTCGTTCGAGCTGTGAAGCTAAATTGGCCTTTGCGGTCTGCCGTGTTCGTCGGTTTGCGCGGAGGAGCGTTATCCTCTCTTGCAATTGGTGAGCTAAAGTCCTCGTTTGAGTTATGTTACATGTTTGAGTTTGAGTTACATGTACTGCTGCGAGCTTACAAGTTACATTCTCTGTATTTTGCTTCCTATGGCAATAAATAAATAAATAAATAACAAAAAATAAATAAACAAACTCTAGGAATAACAGTGCGACGCTGACATTAACATCAAAAATGGTATACAGACCGATAGACAAGTCATCAAGTGCACTACTAATGGTATATATATGTGTAATAAAATGCATTACTAATGGTAAGCTAAAAACCAGCCCTTACTGACACCACTTCCGCTGCTGCCACCACTGGTAATAATGGCGCTGATATTACCAATGCTAATGACAATGGCATCGGTAATGATGTTGAAGAACATGGTAATAATAGTAACAATAATGGCGATGGCGGTTGTGCTGCTGCTTGTGATAATGGGAAAGATAATAATGGTGACGAAGATAATAATAATGGGAAGGAAGGCCTTTGAGGGGGACGCAGGGATCAGTTCAGGTGACTTACGGTCGTATGCTTAAAGACATTAAGGACCCACACTTTGGAACGCAAAATCGTCCAAAAAGGAATAATACCGCAAAAATAAACTAATATACCAAAATAACGCAAGAGGATAAGAACATTATATTTTTGAAGTTGACAGTCCTAAAACGTTAAAACTTCCTACAATCGTGAGGATTCTAGTAGAAGACAGTTGCGTTATAAGAACTGATTTGTGTTACACAATTTCTTCCAGCATGCGGTCGTTAGCTTCATGACTGTACTTGCTGTGCTTCAGGAGTGGACCGCGAAAACATGCTGTGGCTCAGTGTTTATCACTTGGAGTTTGGAATTGTTGTCAGGCCATCAGGCATCTGTGATCAAGACTGTCGTCCTTATCTGGTGCTCTTCAGACCTTCCGTCGCGAGCCACTCTGGCTCCACGTCTTCCCCTGACCGGCCCAGTCACAGAGGCCTCGCCCAACTGAATGCATGCCAGTCAGGAATGATTACGCCTCTCTTTCTCCGGTAATTTAACATACGCAATTCATTTATTTACTGCTTATCATTTATCGATTTTATTTTTTCTTATTATCATTATCATTTCCTTAACAAAATATGGGCAGCCACTTGAAACGGCCTCCGCGGCGAGCGTTCCGGAACGGTCCACTCGCCGCCTTTCTAGGCTGACGAAGTACTAACAGACAGAGGTAGGCACGGAGTGTTCAGCAAGATTGCAAGGAAGAGCATATTTCTAGGAGAGTCGCATGAAAAGATGTTTGGAATGATGAATTTAGGACAAGGATGTCCAGAACAACTTGTTCAGTTCCTAATGCTCATAATCCAAGTTTTTTCATGGGGTCTTGATCACTAATAGTCTGGATAATATATATTTTTCGAATATAGTAACAGAAATTTTTGAGAAGAAAATACATTATAATCCGCTGATCATACCCTTAAGAGACTAAGATGACAAACGTAATCAATCTGATCTAAGCGTTTTCGAAATAGGAACTCAGTATCGATCAACTCTAATATCGGAAGATACACACTGATCGGAAATTTCATAAAACCCAAAATTTAGATAGAGCAAGAGTGAGTACACAGTAAAAGAACATGAAGACCTGAACTTGAGAACAGGCGGAAGGGCAGCAGAGAGGCGCCCGGAACCCAGCGGCAGAAGCTCAACCCGATATGATCCGTAGAAGCAGACGCGAAGACTTTACTTCAATAAACTCTTCTCATAATTTGTTCGGGAAGAATACAGTATCTCTTTTAGGTACAATTGTCTTGCTGTATTCCTTGAGGATCATGAAAGAACTGTTATTAATGAATACTATTGTACCATACAGCTTTTCTCAATCTTTTTTCTTTGCGCCAAAGTTAGCATGCTGCCATTATGCTCACTGCTGCTACCATTATTCTAAGTTGCGAACACAAAACATGTTTTTACAACAATGACGATAATTATGACGAGGAAAATACAAAACGCCGATGATAACGGTAAACATAATGATGATATACGTAGTAATAGTGATAGCGGCATCAATGATAATCAATAATGAGAATGACTCTTCACAGTGAAAGGCATATTCATTCTCACTCATAATTTTTCTACGTTCGATGACAATGAGGCCGGTGATGATGATAATGAGGGTGATTATGAGAGTGAGATAATAACAATAACAAAGATGATGACAATGTTAATGATGATGATGATGATAATGATGATGATTATAATAATAGTAATAATAATAATGATGATAATGATAATAATAAAAATAATAATCATGACAATATTGATA